TAACCTGACAAAACCAGTTCTAAACCATGTCTCCACGTACCACATCTACCCTTTTTTTAAACACTTCCAGGGATGGCGAATCCACCACCTCCCTAGGCAGCCTATTCCAATGTTTAATAACCCTTTCAGTGAAAATTTTTTTCCTAATATCTAATCTAAACCTCGTCTGACATAACTTCAACCCATTTCCTCTTGTCCTATCACTTGTCACCAGGGAGAAGAGGTCAGTCCTCACCTCTCTACAACCTCCTTTCAGGTAGTTGTAGAGGGTGATAAGGTCTCCCCTCAGCCTCCTCCAGGCTAAGCCACCCCAGTTCCCTCAGTTGTTCCTCATAAGACTTGTCCTCCAGACCCCTCACCAGCTTTGTAGCCTTTCTCTGGACACACTCCAACACCTCAGTGTCCTCCTTGTAATGAGGGGCCCAAAACTGAACACAGTACTCGAGGTGGGGCCTCACCAGTGCCGAGTACAGGGGGATGATCGCTTCCCTAGTCCTGCTCACCACACTATTCCTGATATAGACTGGGATGCCGCTGGCCTTCTTGGCCACCTGGGCACGCTGCCGGCTTGTATTCCGCCAGCCGTCCACCACCACCCCCAGTTCCTTCTCTGCCGGGCCGCTTTCCAGCCACTCCGTACCAAGCAGGTAGCGCTGCATGGGGCTGTTGAGACCCATGTGCAGGACCCGGCACTTGCCGTTGTTGAACCTCATACCATTGGCCTTGGCCCATCGGTCCAGCCTGTCCAGATCCCTCTGTAGAGCCATCCTACCCTCAAGCAGATCAACATGCCCGCCTAGCTTAGTGTCATCTGCAAACTTACTGAGGGTGCATTTGGTCCCCTCATCCAGATCATTGATAACGATATTAAAGAGAACTGGCCCCAGCACAGAGCCGTGGGGGACACCACTTGTGACCGGACACCAACTGGATTTAACTCCATTAAACACCACTCTCTGGGAACGGCCATACAGCCAGTTTTTTACCCAGCGAAGAGTACACATGAGCAGCCAGTTTCTCCAGGAGAATGCTGTGGGAAACAGCGTCAAAAGCTTTGCTAAAATCCAAGTAGATAACATGCACAGCTTTTCCCTCATCCACTAAGCGGGTTACCTTGTCGTAGAAGGAGATCAGGTTTGTCAGGCATGACCTGCCTTTCGTAAACCAGTGCTGACTGGGCTTGATCACCCTGTTCTCCTGCATGTGCCATGTAATGGCACTGAGGATGATCTGTTCCATGACCTTTCCAGGCACCGAGGTCAGACTGACCGGCCTGTAGTTCCTCTGTCTGGCCCTTCTTGTGGGTGGGTGTCACATTTGCCAACCTCCAGTCAGCTGGGACCTCCCTGGTTAGCCAGGACTGCTCATAAATGATGCAAAGTGGCCTGGTGAGCACTTCTGCCAGCTCCTTCAGTACCCTCGGGTGGATCCCATCCAGCCCCATAGATCTGTGTACCTCCAGGTGCTGAAGCAGGTCCCTCACCAAGGGTAATCTACCCTTGGATTACAGGGGCTTCATTCTGCTCCCCATCTCTGTCTTCTAGCTCAGGGGTCTGGGTACTCAGGGAACAATTGGTTCTACTGCTGAAGACTGAGGGAAAGACAGCATTAAGTACCTCAGCCTTTTCCTCATCCTTGGTCACTATGTTACTGGCCCCGTCTACTAGAGGACAGAGATTATCCTTAGTCCTCTTTTTATTGCTAATATATTTATAGAAACTTTTTTTTGTTGTGCTGACAACAGAAGGCAGGTTTAGTTCTAGCTGGTCTTTGGCCCTCCTAACCTACATAGCCTCACTACCTCTTCATAGTCCTCATCGAGTGGCCTGCCCTTCCTTCCAAAGGCCATAAATCCTCTTTTTCTCCCTAAGTTGCAACCCTCGCTCCCTGTTCAACCAGGCTGGTCTTTTTCCCCAACGGCTTGTCTTTCAGCACACGGGGACAGCCTGCTTCTGTGCCTTTAAGACTTCTTTCTTGAAAAACATCCAGGCTTCCTGGACTCCTTTGCCCTTCAGGACTGCCTCTGGAAGTCCAAGGTAGCAGTTGTGCTGACCCCTCTCCTTGCTTCTCCCAGAATCAAAAACTTTATCATTTCATGATCACTGTTCCCAAGACAGCCTACTACTGTCACATCCCCCACAAGCCCTTTCCTGTTGACAAACAGCAGGTCCAGCAGGGCACCTTCCCTAGTCGGCTCCCTCACCAGCTGCGTCAGGGAGTTATCTCCAGTACACTCCAGGAGCCTTCTAGACTGTTCCCTCCCTGCTGTATCGTATTCCCAGCAGATATCCGGCAAATTGAAGTCCCCCATGAGGACAAGAGCTCGCAATCTTGAGACTTCTCCCAGCCGTTTGTAGAATATTTCATCTGCCTCCTCATCCTGGTTGGGCAGTATATAACAGACTCCTACTACGATACCTGCCTTGTTGGCCCTCCCCCTGATTCTTACCCATAACCCTATTGTCACCATAATTTAGTTCAAGACATTCATAACACTCCCTGACATACAAGGCCACCCCCTTGACTCTCCTTGCTTGCCTATCCTTCCTGAAGAGCCTATAGCCATCCATTGGCACTCAAGTTGTGCGAGTCATCCCACCACGTTTCTGTGATGGCGACCACATCATAATTATCCTGCTGTACAATGGCTTCCAGCTCCTCCTGTTTGTTGCCCCTGCTACTTGCATTAGGGTACAAGCACTTCAGCTGGGCTATTGGTCCCTTCTCCTTTTTACTGGAGGAAGCCGTAATTCTGCCACCCCCAGACTTATTCCTAAGGAGCCCAGTTACGCCCCCTTTCTTTTCCAAATCTAGTGCCAGCATGCCGCTTTCAGGCTTTTTGCTAGCAAGCTCGGATCTATCCCCATCCCCCTTTGAATCTAGTTTAAAGCTCTGTCAATGTGCCCCACCAACTCCTGCCCTAAAACCCTTTTCCCCCTGCGAGACAGGCTTTTGCTGTCTGTTGCCAGCAGGCCTGGTCTCTTGAAAAGCAGCCCATGATCAAAGAACCCGAAGTCCTGCCGATGACACCAGTCTCTGGTCCAGGCATTGATCAGCTGGCGTTGCCGGTTTATCTTCTCATCAATCTTAGCAACTGGTGGGATAGAAGTGAACACTACTTGTGCTACTAATGCTCCATATTGGATCTTCATGGATATGTTTTTAAACGTACGTAAATCCTTCCTGGATTAGGCAATATGATATCTCAAAATTGGAGTATTTCCAATTTATTTCAGTTATCAGCTGTATTTAATCAATGCAGCTTTAGTTAAAGTGTTTTGTTTAAATTTCATGTTGAAAATGAGATGCAATGTGTCTGTGGTCTTGTCAACTGCTAGTATTTAATAAAATGTTGGAGAACTTTAACCCTTATGTTTGTTTCTCTGAATATTTACATGTTTACTTAGCTGCAAGTGGAACTTTCACCTTTTTTTTTTTACAAATAAGAATGTCAATAAATGTTTGTACTATCAGAGTACATAAAAAAATTTAGCCTTTGTGATGACAAAATTTAGCCTTTGAGACAAACAGGTCAGTCTAAGGAGGTTGGTCAATGAAATATTTGGATGAAAGTCTTCCAAAAAAGAATATGCATACACTTTTTCACTATTTCTGCTGAATTTTCATTGTTTTTCTTTCCACGTCAGATCTTATAACTCACTTTGCCAGCCTGTCTGCAAAAGCAGCAAACAAGCTGATTCTCAAAGCCAAAGGGTACCCTTTGGCAGTAAGCATAAGTGATGAGGCAGCTGGGACTCGGCAATGGGACAGTTGGTGGCTCACCAGCCAGACTAGTTCTGTCCCATAACTGGTCTAAGATACTTGAATCTGAAGTGTTATAACACAATTTTAATGAACCACTTTTGCCCTCTGCTTTGAACATAGTAACTGTATCCCACTTCTTATTTGCACGGGATACAAGGTATTAGTTATCACTTCTGAGCTCTTTAGTATCTGTCTCTTCTGTAACCAGCACTGCTCATTCACTATCAAGGTGAGATTCCAGCCTCTCATTAGAACACATTGCTCATGTATTAAGTTTTTATACCATCCTGGAAGGTGTTCCAAGAAATGTTGACGCAGCCACTTCATGATCCCTCCTCAAAGCTTTCCAAAAGCTGTTCTTCTGCAGGGACTCCCAAGCTTAGCAGTGGTTGTATGGTGGTTGCTTGAGACTCCTGGCTGTTAAATGTGTGATTTAGTTTCAGTGATTCCCAGTTGGATTTCACTTGTTCCTCTATATTTATGGTAACATTTTTAATCTCTTATCTTATACTTAGCTTATAAGTTACCAAAACTGTTAATTATTTTTTGTTTTCAACTATGTACTGATTTAACAACATAGATCTCCAGGTGTTGCTGTAAAGTGTATCTGAATATTTATTTAAATATACTTGAAAAGACCTTGAATTAGACCCTGCTTCTGTCCTTGTATAGTTGTTACTTTTTAGAGGAGTATTCAAAGTTGCTTTCAGACTAGGAACTAGAAAAATGTTTAACTTCTCCTGTGCTGGACTACTGTAGCATGGCACATAGTTTGTTATAAGGTGTTTAACATCACTCCACATGGTAAATTTTCTGGTTGCAGCAACCAAGAATAGATTAGACTGGATTCACAGTGCTTGTCCTTGAATGGTGTTCATTGTAAGTGTCTGGATTACTTGGTGGCTGAAAGGTACATCTGGCTCCCAGTATCTGTTATACTCAGTGCTCTATTTTTAAAAAGTACAAATGGAAATGAGCTTCTCAACATCCCTGGAGGTGTTCAAGGCCAGGCTGGATGGGGCTTTGAGCAACCTGGTCTAGTGGAAGGTGTCCCTGCCCATGGCAGGGGGGTTGGAACTAGATGATCTTTAAGGTTCCTTACAACCTAAACCATTCTGTGATTCTCTTAATTTCTGCCGTATTTGAAAAAACATTTTCTACAAAGCCTGTTACAATAGATGCGTTCCCAGTGAAGCTGAACATTCCTGAGTATTCTGTGTCTCTCTTTTTTTCAGATTAATCGTGCCCCAAGCTTTGGAACTGATCAAAAAATAGACTATGATGTAAAAAAAGGCGTTCTGTTAAATGCATTAAAGCTTCTAAACATACGGTAAACTTGTCCTCTTTTCTTCAGTCTGGATGTCTTTCTGTCGCGTTGGTTTTATTTTTTTTTTAATTTGAACTGGACTAGGAGAAAATTAAGACCTTTTTTTCCACCTTCATGTTTTCAAAATACAAATGTTTCCCTTGCTGTCAGTTTTGCTACTAAAATTAACCCAAATTTAATTTTTCTTCTTGCTCATGTGCTTGGAAAAAATGAGCGGTAATAGTAATTTTCATACTTTTTTTTAAATGATTTTTCAAACAGGTCTCAAAGTGGGGATATGAGTGCAGTCACGGGCATGTGCCACACAGGAAATTTGCTTTGCTGAAAATTTCATACATAGTTGAAAGCCATACCCCTCTACAGGAAAACTTTGTAGATAGGGGATAGGTTGGAAAAAATCTACACTTCAGGAAAATAGATACAACCATGTTTGTACATTAAATTATAGTACAGAGTCATTACAATACACCTTAAAGTGTGAAAATATTGTAGCCATAGAAGTTCATATATTTAAAAAATTCTTAATGAATATTTCGATTCTAATTTTATATCATGAACCGCCCATGACTGACTGGAAAATATAGATGATATACCTGCACTGTCAGCTGCATTGGACTGACATATGTTAATATCACCTGTGTTTCAGGACAAGTGATAAAAGGAGGAATTTAGCTCAACAGAAGGCTGAGGCTCAAAAAAGACTCTACGGTCAAGGTTCAATGAAAAAACTGTTGCCAGGTTCCTCAGACTGGGAGAAGAAGCGCCACACACTGGAACGGAGAAAAGAAGAACTGGTAGGAAGGAAAAAATGTGCTATTTCTTGCCTATGGCTTATGCTCTCTCTTTGTTTTAATTCTCTTATTTTCTTCATTTGTAGAAGGAAAGACTTGCACAAGTACGTAAACAGATTTCCAAAGAGGAGCATGAAAATAGACACATGGGGAACTACAGGTAACTATTTTTGACTATATTAGTAGGAAGCATTCAATGCATTCTTTAGGAATAATGGAAACAAGTATTTGAGGTAGACGATAATTTTCAGCCAAAGATGTGTAGGCATTTATCGAAAATATATACATGTACACCAAGTAATAATTTTTTTTTTGGATAGTTCTTTTTTTGATTCCCAATTTTTGCGTGCACTTAGGAATTTATATGACATCATTCACACCTAGTGTTTGTGCAAGACATTTGCTTGAAAGATATGATTGTTCACATTCCATGTACCAAGAACCACAACTGTCATTTAGGACCTGTTCTATAATCACATGTAATGACTCTTATCTTGGGGTGGAGGTAGGGGGGTGCAATATAGGGATGTGAGTATTCCCCTATGAAAAAAAATAAAATCTGAGTATTCAGCTATAAAAAATAAAATCTGAATGTTATCTAAGAAGTTTGCCAAAAGTTCAGAAACTTTATTGGTACTTCCATCATTTTTGATAGAATGGCATTTGAAATACTGTATTCATATTTGTGCACTTTGTTTTTGGATCTTAGTAGCCTTAAATGTAAGTATCTTCAGATTCCTTGGTAATCCATACATGTATGTATTCTTTAACTTGTTGGTTATAATAGGTATTGGCCAGAAAATAAGAATTTTGGTTTATGATGTTATTATTATTTCTTGATATTTGTTTAAAGAGAAGTGAAAGCAAGGCCTATGAATATTTGGTGAAAGGGAGCAGAGTATGGCTAGGAAGAGATGATGGGAGTATTTGCCCACTCTTTATAACATTCATTGAGGATGTGGGAGGTCCGAATTCACATCTTTTATTCTGAATTAGTCAGAATGCCTTTACTGCTTTTTTTTTTTTGTTGAGCAGATATTCTATAGTTCCCAGTAAAGTTCTCATTTAAACAGATAGATGTTTCTGTGAAATTTTCATTTTTGATGAATTAACATTTTGCTTATAAAAGCCTTTCTTTTTAACATTCCCAGTTTTAATTGCATCCTTTCTTGATATATGTGGCGCTGAACTAGTAAATAAAAAAAACCCCCTACAATGAAACAGTTATTTTCATACTAGTTAGACTATAAGAAAGAGAAACATCATGATTCTTTAATACATTTTGCTTTTTTGATACCTTTAGAGTCTAACTTTTTAACTGATCACATTTCCGGTTGCTTATATGGTTTTTGATTGAAAACGAGCCAAATGTTCTCTTTATTTAGCTTTTTGGTTAATGTAAATCAATAAGAATACAAACATTTTTTTTTCCCCTCAGGAAAAAGTGAAGTGTAATTTCATGAGGAATGTGCACATATAAAAGGGCAGAACAGCTTTGTGTCTTGTCTTATTACCATCTGTTTGCAAAAAGGCTGAAGAATCAGCAGGGCCTAAGAAGTAAAGGAATCTTGGCTAGAGATGCAGAGAAATTTTATCTGAGCCATTATGCAGTATTTTCTCCTTGTGATCTTCTCCTGAAGAGTAGGACTAACTTCTGTCAGGCATTGCCATAGAATCATGGAAATTTTGGGTGCTAGTATTGCTGCATGGATTAGTATTGCTTTCTGAATAAAGATCTGGAGAAAACTCAATCAATCTCAGCAGGCTTTGGTTTAATCTGTGGATGTCAGTTCAGCAGTTGGCTTAGTCAAGAGTCTGCAAGCACAACTAGTCCACTGATTCCAGTAGGAGTCCTGGGGCGGTCAAAGTAGGAGCCATGCTTTCAAGCATTTGTGAATTCATGAAGAACTGAAAAGGATATATATGACTTTGAAATGGTCTTTAGCTGCAGTGTATTTCTAAGTATATTAGAATGAATATCCTTTCTTCAAAGTTCTATGGCACTTTTTCAGCAGTAGAATCATCACCATTAAAAAGTGCTGACTTTTAGTGACTGCACCTAGATTAGAGCTCCTACAGGTATTTTATACAAACTTCTTCATACAAACTTCTTGTATTTTATACAAACATCTTCAGTTTGCTGTAGAACTGCGCTGAGTCTAATGGGATCATAACCATCATTTTTTTGTTGCGACAAAATTGTCATGAAAGATACCTTTTCAAGGAGGGAAAGACTGAAAAGGAAGGAAAAAGGACCTTGTAAAAAAGTTCACAAAAGATCCATAAAACATTAAAGTCACATAATGCCAGTCGATATACAAATGGTACCTATGCTTTGCACAGTCCAGGCAGAATTAACTTATGGATTACTCCTTAAAATACATTAGAAATTAGTATTCTACCTTCATAATTTCCAGCTGTGTTTTAGGCATTCATGACAAATGGATTGGAGTGGTTTTCTTCAAAGCCCATTGTTGCTTGATGAGCATGAATAAATCACCAAGTCCTGCTTCTCATATTGTCATAATCTCCTTACCTGTGGTTTTAGACAATAATGGCATAGCTGGTCTAATGCAAAATCAGATTCACCCCATACATCCATGTACCAGATTATTTTTTTTTCTTATAGTAGCTATTTCTTCCTGTTCATTATTTTGGAGGATTTAGCTTTCAAGTGCAGTACGTATTCAATCTTTAATTTACATCATGCCCATTAATTCAAAGCAATTGTTCAGATTTTCACTGGTTTGTGTCCTTTTATTGCTAATACAAATTATTTTGTGGCTCTGAATTTTACATGCAATATTTTGTTAATATTTCATGAATCATTCACACCTGCGTGTATCATTCACACCCACTGAAATTTCAGAGTACTGCAAAACTGAGTTTTGGTATATCTCTGGAATGACCTGCATGGTATTTCTTTTGACTGGCTAATTGCTGGTTTAAACATGAATGTGTTCACTGATTAAAATTAGATTTAGAGAGCAATGTTCAGAGTATATGTTTTATGATATGATATATAATTATTACAGATGTTATGCATTATAGAGGAGACTGTGAATGAGCTGCAATACTTTTGTTCCTAGAGTGTAAGTAGCTCAGCTTCTATCTTAAACTCAATTTTTTTCCTCCTTTTTTAGGCGAATTTACCCTCCTGATGATAAGACATTACTTGAAAAGTATGAGAGCTTGTTAGCCACTGCTTTTCAGACTTTACTTGCTGGGAGAGCAGCTTCACTTCAGCGGGAAATGAATAACCCTTTAAAAAGAATGAAGGTACGGAAGCACAAGAATTATTGGCTTTAGGAGTTATATATCTTGGAATTCATGATCTTGTGGATTATTTTCATGATAATCATGTGTGACGGCTAATAAATAGCATTTGGTAATGATTCCATCATTTTATTATTATTCTTTGTGCAGCTTGTGGGCCAGATCCTTGAATCTGGATGAACTGCAGTGGACCCAGGGTGGAGACAGGCTAGATGGCTTTAAGCTACTTTACCATTTCCCTGATCCTCAGCCTTACCCCTGGCCAAACCAGAGGTTGGCAGAAACTGCTTTTGAGCTGGTAATTGCCTCCTTCTTCCTCCAGTAATGTCCCCAGCCTATTCATCCACTTGTATGGACTGGAATGAGAGATACCATAAAACCAGCTCCACTAGTTTAGGGCATCCAAAAACTCTGCCTGATTGCCTACTTATATAGTCGGAGACAGTAGGGAAATGGCTATATTTAAAATAATGAACTAACGAGATTTAATTTGAGATCTGAGAAATAATTTCCTGTCTTTGTAGTTGGCATCATCCAGCAGTTTTACAGGAGTCTTTGTTCAACCCTTTCTTCAGACTTTTGTCTTTAATAAAGGTTAAGACTTGATTTTAACTTTCAATTTCATGTTGATTGCAAGCGAAGATGCACGCATCAGAAGAAATACTTCTATATCCTCCTCCCTCCTGTGGAGGGATTCATAGTCTTATTTCAGGAATTAGTAATCAAAGTAATTTCAAATTCCTACCACTTGTTACTTGAAATTTGAAAGGATAGGATATGTCTGCTTTGAATTTATTGTAATGAAATTCCCGTTTCTAGGAGGAGGACATTTTGGATCTTCTGGAGCAGTGTGAAATAGATGATGAAAAACTAATGGGAAAATGCACCAGGCAACGAGGACCTAAGGTATTTGACTTTTAGATATCAATTTTTTATTTCAATTTGTAAAGAGGTAGTCTGAGAATTTTAAGTCGGAAATTTAGTTAGCTGATCCTGGTGGAAGTCTTCTTCCTCAGACTGCCATTAGCCTTTTTTTTTTTTTTTTAAGTATGAAGAGAAGCGTAACTACCATTTGTCAGACTAAATCCCATTAAAATTTTAACTGGATATGAGATCCTTCTTTTCCTCTCTAAGCTATTTTGAGGAAATGTCATGCATGGCGACAACTGTTGCACAAGAGATTGCTTGATTTTAGTGTGTGAAATGATTCTTATGTCCATAGCTTATCTCAAAAGAATGCTTTCATCTTTAATTGATTAGTGCCACTAAGGAATTTTGAGATCATGGGATAAAAGGCACTATGGAAACTCAAAGGTTTAATTATCATTATGATGTATCTGTAGCTTGCTTTCTTGCTAAAATGGTTGTACAGTGTATCTTGGAGCCTGTTTCATATCCAAAATCTGCTTTTAAAGTGAATGTATATTATTTTTAGTTTAATGCCTTCTGGTTGTGTGCATAGTTCATGCAAGTCTTTATCTTAAATGCAGTGCATATCTCTGTAAGCCAGTAAAGATAAATAGTTTGGGCTTCCCTAAAATAGGTATGTTTCTTATATCCTGCAAACATTTTAGGTCAAGTCTGCTTAGAAGAGCCTACGTTTATGTTCCTGAGCTCTGACGGATTTGTTTATGGATGCATGTAAATTTTTTTACAGCATTTTATGTTTCTGATGACATGGTGTACAAATATGGGAATTTCTGTACAAAATGAATGCTGACAATTTTCCTGAGCTTGCAGGGGTACTTTATGTATGTGCAAGAATCCAAAGAGCTACATCTTATTACAGGCGTGCGTACTGGAAAGAGGATCTGCATATCCAATCTGGTATTAAGACAGATTTGCAGGAACTTCATTACAAATATGGGGATTTTGTGAGCTAGTGCTTTAACCGTGGTGGATTCATTTAAAGAAGAGAAAAAAAAATTGCAGTCCACCCTGGCAACACACTTGACTCACATTCTTCAGGGATTCTTTTCCTTAAGGTTTTGTTTTCAGTTCTTTAACATAGGGTTACTTAAATCAAGTTCCACATCTTGTTCACATTTTTCCTTTTTTCAGAAGCGTGTCTTTTCCCAGCAGCCCTCAGAGAACATCTATCTGTTGACTGTATGCACACAAACTTGATCTATACTGTTTCTACATTGGTTGCATATAAGCTGGAGGGCATAAATATTTAATAGGGTACTGAGCCCAAATTGAGAAACCTCTTTTAATTAGTTTTAAGATGAAATTTGATCAATTTGTGAGTGAGACTATATGACATGGTCTTCTTTTATAGCAGGCATATGGATTCCGTAGCTGCTCTATTGTTTGTCCTTACAGGATAAAGAAAAAAATTGCATATGACCAAAATTCCCACTCTTTTTTTTTTCCATAAAATTGATTAATTCAAAAGGGAAGACAATGAAACTAGCTTATCCAAGGAGACTGTTTTTTTTCCTTGCAGTGTACACACTTCATGCTGTACAGGATCTCTATTCCTGCATCTTTTTTAGGGTCCTGATATACTCAATCATTTAAACCCTGCCTACAGTGAAGCCATATGACTGGAGACTTCCCTGGTTGCATAATATCCTATGCACTCCCTTTGAAATACAGATGCCCATTGTGGATGGTCCTTGTATCTTGTACCGAAAGAGCATCACCTCTTTCCTGTAAGGGGTAAGGTGCACATGGCTAATAATATGCATTTGATTGGCCACCTCTTTGTAAAGGGTCTGCTATGAGATATGTAGTATCTAAATATATATCTGTATTGAAATCTGGTGAGTGAGGTATGCAGTAGAACTTACTATTGCCTGCCAATCTATCAGGTAAGAGAATAATCCAGCTGTAAAACTCATCTTCTTGTAATCATAAAATTCTCCAAATAAAGATCCATGAGCGTATCAAAAAAGTAACATATACAAGATCTGATAGACAATACAAACTTGAAGGAACAGTACTTTTCATGTTGTGTTACTCAATATGAAATGTTCTTTCAGAAGGTCATAAAGTCCTGTCCTCCCTTAAAAGTCAGTGGCTGCCTGCTGGCAAAAGCTACTGTTAGGAAGTCAGATGCTCTGCCTTGAGCGCACTCTCTTCCTTGGAAAATGAAACAGTCAGGACTCAGAAAACTCAATACAGAACAGCTGGGATAGTGAGGAGAGAAAAGTGTTTTCCTCCTCTATGCATAGAAACATATATATACATACATATATGTATCTGAGGGGTAAAGGGGTGTATGTGTATAAATAAGCTTTGCATGTAACAGCTGTTCCACATTTGCTAGGAATTTCAGTCTTATTTTTATTTGAAGGTGATTAGAAACTCAGACTAGAAAACAAGTCTAGAATTTCCAAGAATGAAGACATTTTTGCCTGCAATTACTGAATTCTACTTAGACTGAGAAATACATTCTGGAAATGTCTGGTTTGTTTGTAGCCTCTAGAGGGCACCTTATCCTTACACATTGTAAGGTTTACTCTTGATTATTACATTGCACCTGTTCATGCAGCAAAAAGAACTGAGGAAATAAAATAACAGGTATTTTAGAGGAAATGAGCAATTACTTTTATTTTTATTCTTCTGATATAAAATCAGATGAGTTTAATTAAAGAAAAATCAGGTTAGCATAAGGGGAAAATCAAGGTGATTAGAACTGCTAAGCAACCTCTTATTTTAAGAGGTCAGTTTAAACCGAGATCTAGCTATTATTTGTGAGTATTGTTTTTTGTAATTTCTTTGACCTTTCTTTTCATTCTTCTTTGTTAATTGATGTGAAGTCTTGATCAGGATGTTCTTATTGTTTAGCGTAGAATGTGTGAGGAACATGCATATCATATGTGGGGATGAGATGCCCCTGTGAGTTTTGATTGAAAATGTTTATTATACCTTGTGTAACTCATCAGGAATGTCTGATCAATACAACTCCATCACACACATCATTTCATGATTAGGACCACTATTTTTGAAAAGGAATAAGTGTTGAGGCACCTTAATTTGTCCTTTTGGCAGGTAGATAGATATCAAAATATTCTTTGTGTAATCTGAACAATTGCCAGGTCTCTCCCCAATGGAATATACTTCTTCAACTCTTCCTTATCTGGTCCAACATCTTGGGCTTGCATAAACATACGGTTGATTTTAAGCTAGTGGCAGAATCTTTTTTCTTCCTTGGCTGGAATAGAAGTTTAGGTAGAATATGTTTACTTACACTGCAAGTGTATCTTGCAGGAACAGTATCTTTGGGGCTTGGTTGTATTGCCCTTCCAATAAATTTTGGTGTGTTACATTATGCTAAGATCATAGGGCACTTTAAATTAATTCTGAGAGTTCTTCTATTTCATTGTGACCCAAAATACGTTCAGAAATTGTGATTTTTTTTTTATTTTTGTTTTTTTTTTAAATCTGAGTTCTAATTGCAGTCCGTTAGATGACTGGGAATGAAGCCACTACCATAGCATCTTATAGGTGAGAATTACTGGAAAGAAAATGCGTAGAAAAAAAGAAGCGACCACATTAGCCTTCTTAGGATAATAGGTATAATGGAAGATATTGCATTTTTCTTGTTTGCTTGATGGTAGATGGAAGAAGAAAAATTTTCATTTGTAGTTTCTGTTCTTGCGTCAGTTTCTTTTTCTCCTACATTTTGCTTTTTGTTTCGCAGTATCCTAGGTGATAGCACAAGATTAATTACCTAATGACACTGAATACCATGTCCATATGGGACACCAAATACACCTAGCATAGCTGGCTATATTCTTCCAGTTTCTGCTTTCTGCAGGATGTGGATTAATCACTTTCTCTTTCAGAAGTGTGCCAGCCAAAGTTCCCTGATGTATTTGTTTACTTTACTATGATCATTGTTAAACTATAGCTTCGGTTATTGCAAATATCAGTGAGGGATTGAAACTGATTTTAAATGGTATTCTGTATCACGTGATTTATGATTTCAAACTATAATTCTGTATGTCTGGTAGTGTAAGTCATATTTGAAATAAAATAAGTTTTTTCCCCCTTATTGTATTAGGCAGCTCTTCACGTGAGAAAGATTAGGATTACTGTGTAGTGAAGTTAATGAACGATTTAAGCATTTATTTTAAAATTAAGGACAAACTTCCAATCTAATTTGGGAGGGTTTCAACATGTACAAATGAACCTGCCTGAAATAGTAAAGTGTTCTTTTGCGATTATGAAGGAATTTAATTTCTTAGGTGGTTTTTTTTGTTGTGTGTTTTTTTTTGTTGTTTTGTTTTTTTTTATTAGCCCTTGTGTTCAATGCCAGAAAGTGCACAGCCCTCAAGAAAACTTAAGAACTACAGTAGTGACAGTAGCTGTGATAGCGGTAGCAGTATGTCAGAATCGGGAGAAGAAACTGACAAGGAAGATCACAATGAAAAAAAAGAGAAAAAAGTTTCATATGATCTTGAAGAAAATAAATGCAAATCTTTGGAACGATCAGGTAAGTCAAATTATCACTTTTTCAAGTAAGTCTGGCATTCATGATGATTTATATAAAATGCTTCAGTATTTAAAATGTATCAACATTCGTAACTCGGGGTTAAACACTGGTTTGTTTGTTTAGTTTTCTTTAAAATCTTTTCTAAATTAACTAAAATGAATTTTAAAAAAAAGGAAAAATGAATATTCTTTTGCCAAGCATGCTAAAGAAAAACATACACCTGGGCTATCATCTGGGCTGTACTTGGAAATTGTGTGAATGTTTCTCTTTGCTCTTAGATTTTTTTTTTTTTTTTGAAAAAATCATCATTTTTTCCCCTGTAAAAAGTAGTCTTATTAAGCTTGAATTTGCTGGAATATAGAAAGGATAAATAAATGTACCTGGAGACATATGAAGGTAATATATTCCAGATGAGATCCCTGCACAAGGTTTGGGGTTTTTTTTTGTGATTGTTTTCTTGTGATTGTTGTCTTTCTTTTTGTGATTGTTTCTCTTGCTGCAGAGTGTTAGTGTGAGCATGTTCTCTTGAACATGGTAGATATAGCACATTATTTTTTGTTTTAGCTGTGTATTGCTTCAAAGAATTTTGTCATGTAATTGCACACATATAACGCTGCTTCTAAAATTTTATTTTTCATGGCAGCATCCTTTATTTAGCAGAAGACTGAATTAGAAAACTGTACAGCTATGCAGCAGCAGATAAGGGAGACCAAATCTGCAAATACGGGATCCATTAACCAAATTTTCTCTCCTGCTTCCATATTCTTACAGTCAGGAAGCCACACATAGTAGCCACATACTTTTTGACCTATAGGGCATACGCACTCTGTCATAAATGGGATGCATATTACAGAGGACTGTAGTCTACATCATTAAAGCTGACTATGAGGAAGAAATGAATGTTCTTACATAGTATGTAAAATATGTATTATTGGGGAATCTCACATGACTGCTAAAGATGTAGCTGTTAGTCAACATACATTATAGTACAACATACGTGCACACATGTTGGTCCTATATGTTGTTAGTTACAAAGACTGAAAAATGAGTGTTAAAAGGATAGTAAGTAATTGCATCATTCATTTAATTTGTCTGCAGGTAGAATGAACTGGAAACCTTCGATTAAAAATATAAAATCTCCATCATATTCACCCCCCACATCATCCACAGGTCCAATAAGGCGTTCTGTAAGCTGCCCTCGTTCAATATCAATATTGACTATGCAGTCACAGGCTGCTGAGCATCGTCCCTTTTCAGCCAAAGCATCTGTGCAAATCCAGCGTGCATCCTCAGTGAATAGGTCTCATTCTTTAAATCGCAGCCCATCTTCGGCTAGAGTCTCTCAGACACCCAGCTTGGGAACTATGAACTCTTTGGGGGTGAGTTAACACAGCAGTTGCATTCAAAATGTGTTCCATTTCTCTAAAACTCAATAAATACATCACTAATTTTTAGTGTCAGAAAACCCGAGGTACTATAGTCAATGCTATTTTGACAGAAATTCATGAAATTGAGATCTCTAGACCTGCAGAGGACTTACAGTGAGTGCTAGCTGTGATGTTTCAGTGTTTCTGGTGCAGCAATATGGATGTCACGTTTTTTGAGAATGGAAATCTTAAGAGTTTTTGTGGCTGGGAAACCAGCTCTCCTAAATAGTTTTTGAAGACAGAAAGAGTTTGTACCTCTCTTAAAAAGTTTCTCTGATTTCTTTGGGGACTGCAGGTTCTGAAATAAAGGACATACCTACCTTCAAACTTTACAGTAACAAATACACATAAATATTTCAAAGCCTGTATATGCCATTTTTTTATGCTGGTACACATTGTACCAGAATAAAGCATTATTAAGACTTTGTGTGGGTGGCCACTGTAGAAGAAGGTGCAATCAATTTTCAGCCTACTGTACCTAATTTGTGTACACTATATCACTGCAGTAGAGTTCTACTTCCAAAGTGAACCATTTAAAATTTATAGCTAGTTCTTGTCATCTTTAGGATTTGCCACTGCAATAACTGTCTCAGAAGCCATCTCCATCTTTTTTTTTTTTTTTAAGTGAAGATAAAACAACTTTAATTTTGAAGCCTGTCCCTGAGACAGACAAGAATTTAGACTGAGGTGGTCTAACTAAATAACTAATAGAATATCAGGTCAGATTAAATACTTTTACCTGTTTAGAATTTGTGTGGTTAGTTGTAATTTCACAATGCACTTCTGAGCCATACCTTTTTTTTTCCTTTTGTGACTAGACTGTCATCTTTTTTGGTATCTCCTTTTCAACCCAGGCATTTCTTCTTTTGTGTTTGCATGGTGGACCACATATCCACTTATCCCTAGGCAGTGTTTGCTGGGATCAGTCCTCAACCTCATTCAGTATTGTATTCAGTGCTGGTGCCAGTGCGTTTCTGTTCATGCTTTGGTGCTTGATCTGTATATTTCATCACCCAAATAACTCATCTGGAGATGGGGCAAAACCATATTTGCAGCCTTTCTCTATTGTGGTGAGCTTTGCTTGTGCGAAATCCTTTTGTAATGCTAATGAACTTGCTTCATAGTATTTACTATCTCTAATCATCATTTTTATCCGGTAGAATGCTCATTGTCTGTTTTGCCTGTGAGGCTTTGTCTAAATGATGAAAAAGGATCCTTTTAAAATTGTGTGCTGACATCTTGTGAAATACTCCTTAACATGGTTTTCCATCTTTAAAGTCAGCTAATAGAATTGGAAAGACATTAAGATTGTGTCTTCACCACAACGTGTTAAAGGTATTTTTTATCACATTAGCTATCTCAAGTTTAAAAAGTACCCTTTTATCATCAAGATGTACTCTGAGAGTTTAATGAGACAGGGCTAATATAGATTTTTCTATTCACATTAACTCTATATCAAATACAAATTACTGAAAGATTAAAAACAGTCTCTTACCATCTGACATTAAAAATGGGCTACTCACTTAAATTAACATTAGTAAGAAACCATACTCTGTTTTTCATTGAGAAAGCTCCACCAGAGAAATGATCTTGATATGCAGAACAATTATGTTGGGTGATAGAGCTTAGGTCATGCTTCTTAAAATAATGTGAATAAAATTACTTACAGAATGGATAAGAACTACTCGTAATTTAGCACTGTATTGTGAATGGAACTGTTCATAATTATTTTTGCAACTAAGAATAATATACTATATATTACTGCTAGAATAAAATTTAAGTTGATAAACTGTAACTTACTAAGAAGAAATCATTTGTGCATGATAAAGTATTAGTTTATCTATCCTTTGGGAAAGAAAAGAGCAGTACATTACCATTTTTGGAGCCTGCTGAGATCCAAAGGTCTGGAAACGAAGTTTAGAATAAGTCATTTACCATTGGGAATTACAGATGCATTATTATAGCAGTTATAAACAAAAGTGGATTTGGAAATATTTTCTATCTTATTATTTCTGTCACATCATTATATTTCATGTAGCAAAATATTTTGTTATGCTTGAAAATATTTATCACTTACTTAAGCAAAAATATCCTTAAGTAAATATTGTAGTTCTTACAAAATACTAAGATTTAGAAATGCCTAAAAATTTTCAATGTCACTCTTGAAAAAAACATAAAATTAAGCCCACTTAATCTTTCAAACACAGAAATATGTAAAGAAAGAGGATCAGAAATAATTCTAATTAGTGTTAAGATTTAAAGAAAACCCCAAAATCCTCCAGAGATGGTCCTCTGCAGACACTGTAGGGGTTCAAGTTGATGGTGGTGTAAAAAGCACTGATACTTTAAAAAAAATCTTGGACAATCAAAGACATCATCAGAACCCCCACTGACCAGAGTAGGAGCAAAGTGTCCTTACTTATTAATGCTTCCTGAAATCTTGGCACAATGACATATAATTGGCAGTTTCTGTTAATTTGTTGCATTGAAGAACTGAAAGGAAGTTTTTAATGACTAATAATTTATTTTCATTATGTTGAATTTAAATTCGAAGCCTGTTATCTAAATTTCAAATTTAGATTTTAAATGGTGGGCATCATAAATACCGAATATGTATTTGTTTAGTCTGTTTCAAACGGACTGTTTTTCTTGAATTTCCTGACAACTATAAGTAATGGTAATGCACTAGAGTACACGAGGCATATGTGTGCATATTAGTTATGTACTAGATATTATGTCTATAGACTTCAGAAATATATTTTATGTCACCCTATTTAGAATTCATTTCTGTCAAGGAAACACCTTTGTAATGTGATCTAATGACACGCCTGAAATTTTTCCTGTGCTTCACATTGGTTTTTAGAGCGAGTCTTTGCTGCAACAGAAAACAAAAGAGCAAGAAGTTGCTTTGACAAAAGAGACTCTTCTCATTATCAATGACATGAGAATGAAGTTCCCAGGAAAAACAGATGAAGAATCAGAACTAATTATAGAAGATGTAAGTATCTATAAATAAGAAAGCAGAATTACAGGCTAGACACTTACTGTCTAGGCCACTAAAACGAAGGAAAGTGGAAGGCTCAATTTATGGCTCATGAGGTCCTGTGGCCTCAAAACTTCCATAACTCAGGATAATTCAAAAGATTTCAAAAGCTTGGAGCTTAGCATACTTTCTGACCTTAAAAAAGTAGCACTGAAAACATTCCTATGTCTTTATAAAATATATGAGAAGCAATCAGAAAGGTTAGGAAAATTCAGTTTTTCATTGTGGAGAAAGTTCAAACTTTTAAGTAAGCTAAGAAGAATGTTACAATTCATTAACAGTTTATATTTCATCTGATATTGTTAGTACAAATCCTGACATGTTTAACTTGCTCTCAAATAGGCATACTAGAGAAGTCAGAATGGTATGCTGCAAGACAAACTGGAAGTTTGCTAGTCATAAAGAACACCAGTCACACTCTTTTTGGCTCTTCTAGTCTGCCATCTTACTCTTTCTTACATCCAACATTGTCCTGAGCCTCATCCTGTGGAAACAAAGACATGTGAAACAATGCCCAATCTAAGGGACACTTAAAAAGCAACACCTCAGATATAGAACCAGAAAATACATGGTGTCTAAATCCCTTTTAAATACCTAGTGCAAAGAAACTAACATCCGCTTGGAAAAGAAAAAAAATGAAGATAGAAGTTATTTTCTCAGTCTAGTAGAGATATGGAGGGATCTAGTAATTTAAATTAACATCTGAATACTGATGTAGTAAGCACAGTCCACGATGTGTTAAAATCAATCTAATTCACTATCTGGTCAGAAATGTCGTTTGCTCTGCGAGCTCTCAACATGTTGACTACGTCTCTAGTGATCTGTGCGACTACGTCACAGTGGAAAGGAATTCACCTGTAATTATGATTGATTTGGGTGTTTCTGGAAGATAGCATTCATAAGTAGCATATTTAGTTTCTTATCTTAGAATCAGAAGTGAAATGCTTCATTAAATTTTCTCATTCAGACGTGAGAGTGTGTGTATTTATTTACTTATGGGAGAGTGTGTGTGTATGCGCTCCATCTAGTGGTGCTTTCTCATACAACACTAGCATGGTTATAAATGCACTTTCTTATCACAGAAATCTATTATAAATTTGTCTGGCCTTAACTAGTTTCTGATGAGAAATAATATTTCATCATGGAAGGAAACAAGTAATGATATATTAATTGTCAGTGAGGCAGAACTTGTCATAGGTGTGGAATAAAACTCCAAGATAAAATAACAAAATGAAAATAAAAATGTATGTTAACAGCTTGAGCTACTTTTGTAGCACTTAGACATCATAAAAGGAGAGTATTGCAGTTCATATATGATCATTTCTAGAAAGGATGTTTTCAAGGTATGGCTAATGTCCATTATGCAGCAAAAAACTCAATATTTTAATAGATTATCAGTTATGCATTATTGAACTTCTTGCTGTGTTCAAGGATCCTAGCAGATTCAGTCAAGACAAGTTTCTACCTGCTTTGTAGTGTATGAAGATCTGAATCAGGTGGAAAAGAGAGTAGAATTAAACTGAAAGATTGCACACATCTTTGCAAACGTTCTTCCACATAAATTTGCAAATATTTTTCTATTTCCTTTAGAGAAAAGTTTTCACAGAAGTCTTTTAGATGCTCACACTTTGTAGCATTAAGACTGCCCATGAATGAAATGCCAGATTTCAGTTGGTTTTATGTGTATTTCTTTTCTCTTGTGTTTTGTAATGACTCCAGATTATGGATAATTGGAAGTATCATAAAACAAAAGTGGCATCCTATTGGTTGGTAAAACTGGATTCTGTAAAGCAACGAAAAGTAAGTGATGTATATTTCATTTTCTGAAGATCATCTGAAGTAGACACATAGCATTGTTTCTGTTTAGCAGTAGCTGTTTAGCTGTTTAGCAGTAGCTGGGAGTGACCTGAGATGCTAAAATACTGGCTATTAATGCTAAAATATATATGAATTAATTCCATTGCAGGAAATGATCTTGCTCCATATTTAGAGAAGCATAATTATCCTGGAATATAATTTCAAGAACAATCCATTAAAAAAATAATCTGATGAAAGAAAAGCAAACAAATAAATAATTAGTGCTTACATACCTTATTTTTAGCAAACATTTTTATAAGTGTATTGATTCAGCAGATTTGATTGATAAGGGATAAACCAGTCGGCAGTTTCTGACCAGGCATATTGAAACTCCATTAGAAGTAGTGATATTGCACTTGGTTATTTGAGTCTTTGACCCACAGTGTTACAACAGATCATGTTGAATAAAAAATAGACCTGCCAAGCAAAGATTATTGACATTGTTCAATTATTCAGCTAACTGGTTTAGTCTTGCAAAGGATTAATGATATTTGTTTATCGTTCTGTCTTCATTCATCTGCTATCTAGGAGCTACTGTTGTGCATAGCATCTAAAGACCATCAATCTGTTTAAAAACTGACATACTGTAGTATGTCAGTCATATCTGTATGTCACATGTCAGTCAAAATCATCTTCCCAGTGTAATATTTATCTTCCTTAATGTAGCAGAAATTATATCTATTATTAATGCTTTGGTGCCCATAAAGCAGTATTTTGGATCTTTCTCTGCCTCAGTCACTGACACATTATGTGGATTAGCATATCAGTTCCAGGCATTTAATCTCTGTGTGTCTCAGTTTCACAATCTATTTTTATGGACCATAAAAGAAAGTAACTTAATCAAAATGCTGCATACATGATAAATATTATAATTGGAAAAGGTTGGTAGATTGTTATAGAAGGACGGAAGAACAATTTCAGATCCTCATCTCAAATTACTTTTTATAAAATCAGTAGTAAGATCCTCCATCTTTCGAATTGTATTTTATTGAATATTGCATTAAATTCTTGTATTTTCATACTGGACAGAGAAAACACGTCTATTTAATGTGATGTCATATGATAGAAAAATATTTGAATATTCAAGTTAAGTTCAGATATTAAATGTGTGTCCACACAGCTTTCCAAAATGAAATTAGACATGACAAACTTGAAGAACTTGGAAATGTAGAAGCCTATAACTTAATCAAAATTCTTCTTAAACCATGTCAAATGGCAGGACAAATCTATTTAATGCAATTATTTCTTGTGCCATTGACAGGAATCAGTAGAGCAACCACCTTCATTGGCTGAAATTGTGTAATTTTTTGTTTGGTATCTGCAGCTGTTCTGCTGAATAGTCCTTTGTTTAAAATGATCTCTTATTTCTTTTTAATTACAGGAATTTGAAAGAGTGCTGCAATCCCAATATAGATGCGCATAGGTCTTTTCTGTTGTGCGATATGGCAGTTGTAGCCTTTTGCCCGAAACCAGAGTCTTACTGGGTGCTTGCAGAAAATGGTGATATGGAGGAAGAGCTGCGAGGAGGGAGGGAGAGAGCTACAGATAGATGCCTATATACATAGATAACAGGGCCCAAAATTCACCCTGCTGCTCCAGTGGAGATCTCATTTTCTCTGCAGGAATCTTTGGGACAGTTGAAACTGGTGGAGGATGTGTTGCTAGAAATGCTTCCTTTAATCTATGATGCCACAAGTGTGTAAAGAAGTCACCAGATTGGGCCCATCATTGCAACTGAGACACAGGGCTTTCACACAAGACTGGTTAAGGTGTCTCTTTCAACCCTTCGCCATATGTCACCCCCCAAAACTATGTGAAGGAATTGCCACACAGAGAGTGATAAATCTGCTCTTTGAGGGACTGAGGCTGCTTACTATACATTCTTTAATTGCCCTTCCTAAGCTTCTTTGGGACATCTGGCTTAATAAACCTGTGTCTGTCTCTTTTTTTTGTTGTTGTTTTTTTTTTTTTAATTTTCTTTTCTATGTAGTCAGAATTTTCTCCTGTAAGCATTATTTCAGAAAGCCTACAATAAGGGTGGTTCTGTCCTTTATTTGACTGACAGCCATGTAAAACCAAGGGCACGTGTACAAAGTCAGGATGATACAGGTTGATATGCCAGGTCGTTACTAGCAAAAACTGCACAAACAGAAATGTGGATTTTTTTGCTCTTCTTGTGAGGACATCTTTTACAACTTAGGAGACTTATAATTCCTGAAGCACTAGTGGGCCCTTCATCTTTGCTTGCACTGGAAATGATTTGCCTTTTTCTTTTTTTTTTTTTAAAAAAAACCCTGCTTTTAACCTCAATCCCTTCAAGCAATCAGATAGTTATTCTTAGAAGGGTAGTTTATAGAAACGGATTAACTTTGACAATGACATTGCAGTTGAGGACTGCCAAATGTGTAAGCGTTTGTTGATTTGAAAGGAGTATGTTTTATATTCCAATGAGGTGGGTAAAGGAGAAGCGAGCTCAAGGTGGAGAATATTTGTGCAAGTAAGGAATCTGTCTCAAAGGTACCTTCTGCAACTCTGAAACACAAACCAGAAACTCAGTCCCCTTCACTATACTTACTGGGAAGTTCTAAAACATAAGAAGAAAATACCTGGGCAATGTACTAGATTTTACAGTGTTCATCTCTGACAGGTATATTTTCTTAAGAATTATCCAACACGATGTAGAAAAATTAAACTCCTGCTCATATTCTTAGTGTCTAATATTCTGGCATTACAGCCGAGGTACGGGAGTCATTTAGAAGCAAGTTGAGAGTAAACTGATGAAATCGATACATGTTAAAATGAAATTTAGTCCCCCAAGACTGTTAGGAAAAAGAGACTTTTCTATGGGAAGAGTTGCGAGTGCTTTGTGTTACATCACTTTACGTAATTTCTTTAAAAGTGTTTTGATGATTACCAGAGGGTCTGTACATCTTGTTTTGAATACCGTCTTTCATAACATCTTGTTCTGTTACACCTAGATAATTGGTTATGTTAAAGTAAATGATGTAAATTAAAGTAAACAGAAAGATGAAGGCAAACTAGGGAAATTAACGTAGAAAAATGGGGATGTAGGTTTCATGGAGTTCCAACTCTTGTGCAATGCCTTGTCTCTTTTCTTAAATGGATGATTGAGGCCACGTTTGCAAATTAAGAACAATTAACTGGGATGTTTTCCCTCTGGCATATTGGCAGTATCAACACAGTAAAAAACAGCAATAAATTTTTTTTCTAGAGTACCTGGCAGCCTGCAGCTTGCTCTAAGATGCAAGGTTCAGTCCTTAGTTTTCTTCAACTCCAGGCGCTGAAGTAAAAGAAAAAGCTCTACATTGGCATCATAGTTCTTAGTTCATGTCTTCGTGAGAGAATCTATATGGTGTGGAATTGTTCTGTTTTATACATTACATTATAAATTACTTTTAGTCACATCGCAAAGAAATGTATGGTCGCTCCTTTACGTAATTTAGGGACTTAATTGGTTCAAATGAGTGTATGCAATCGCAGCTATGGACCATTTGTGTGGGAAAGCCTTTATCAGGTGAGGCAGAAGGAAAAGGCTGCTTGAGAAGCATTAAGACAGTAGGCTGAGGCTGCTAAGGGAATGTCTGGAAATCTGGACCCATTCCACAAGTGTGGGGCAGTCCAAATCTTGGGTTTAGCTCCTGCAGTCACTAAACAAGATCACCATCCTTAGGTTATAATTTACTACTCTTTTTATCTCACTTTTTGGGAGGAAGAGACCACAGGTGTGGTTCTAGCATGTTAGACACCTGCAATTGTAATGATTCCCAACAGAGAGGACAGCATTGCATTCATATTGGGTGCATACGTGCATGGAATTAGTGCAAGATGTATGCGTTCAGACTAATCCTAGGTCTTCCAAAAAGAGCTTAAATAACATGCAAATGACATATTTCATCGAGGCTGTCATTATTAGGCATCTATAGATTTTCTGCCCATTAAGCATTTCTCTTTACTACACAGCTCCATTGTGGTATTGCAAGCATTTTGTTTATTTATGCTTCATTTCCTTCATCATGTTTAATAAGACTATTTACAAGCAACGGTTTGTTATGCAGGGCCAAAAAATCAAAGTTCTACGCCATGCTTCCATACTTTACTGTTTTACTAAATCCCTTTCACCTTTTGATAGTCAGATGTTATACCATGTGAATCAATTTGTCACGCACATCTGAAAGCTTCCTGAGCAAGTATTGTACCTTTTATATCTTAAAATTTGCAACATCTTATACCAGCCACTTGAGTCTGACTGGTTTTTTGGATGATGCTGTTTTGTGAAAGAGACAGTAAGGGTGTCTCCTTTACAGGAAATCATGTTGATTTAACTGACTTTTGTTAATAGGTTACAGCACCATAGGCTTTTTCTAGGAGAGATTTTACACTGTTCACAGTGCCAGGGTGGGGCCCAAATACTACTTTGGTTATGAAACTATTCCCAGTCTTACTGAGAGTATCTAAATAGCCAGAAGCCAAGACACTGGAGCCTGTTTCTCTCCAGTGATTATGCGTGATTATGGAGAACGTCCAGATGTTCACAAGCAGGCAAGATGAATCCCACCTTCTGTGTCCCAGTTGAGTGGGATGCACAAAGGTGTGTCCAAGAGGACTCTAATGAGTTGGATGCGTGACTGCCTCTAAGCACATGTGTGTGCTGAGTAGCTGAGACTTACTGGGTAAAACTCTCAGTGCTATACTGAATGCACCTTAGCATTTTCTTCACCCACATGTTTACACACTTGCATTTAAATATAGTCTGTATAAAACAAATCCACTGCATTTATAGAAACGTCACTATTTTAAATATCTTGGTGATTATTTTCTTACTTATTGATTTCACTACACTGTTTCCTGCATGAAAGGTAAGCTTAAATGGTTTGATCTAGGGTAACACTGAGCTTAGGCAGACATTAAACCAAAGGTAGTGTGTAGCTTTTCAGGACATTTTAGATCTTTATAAAATAGATGGTATTTTAAAAGGGAGTGGGAAAAGAAAAGATAATCTTCAAATATGTAATATCTGGGTTGTTAATTATGTTGCTTCTAGTCTGTAATTGTGTCTATTTTGTTTCTTTCTAAACTCTTTTTGTCATTTAAACAGCTATTATTGAACAGACTAAAAAAAAAAGAAATTAACTTTTCTGTATTAAAAATAAAATATTTTGATTTGGCTTTGCAAAATGTTATTGACAGAAAAAGCATACCGTAAAGTTTGCTGATGAATGCACAGAAATGAAACATAGACATCTGTGGGAATTTATAGCTGTGCAGTCTTCTGTGTGTGAGTTTGTGTGTGTGTATTCAGTGAATCAGCGAACAGTTGGTTTTAGGTTTTGCAATATGCCTTTGCTTTGATTTCCTTGCAATACTCTTTCCTAGGTTTTGGATATAGTCAAGACAAGTGTTCGTGCAGTTCTACAGCGTGTCTGGAAGGCTCCAGACATTGAAAATTTACATCTATACCGTCTCTTTAACCGTGTATTTAATCGCTTGCTCTGGAGCCATGGTCAAGGTCTATGGAACTGTTTCTGTAATTCAGGGTAAGCCTGTTTTTCTTATCTTAGTCTTCTTCATAACTTCACAATTACAATCAATGCTAGCGTACTTTGTTGCTCATTTTCATTCAAGAGAATACTGTAATACATTGATTTTTTTTTTTAAACTATCTAAAGATGTATTATAATTAGAAATCTAATAATCTAGGCCAACCGTTTCATTAATGGAAGCAGACATTTAGTAATATATTTACAAATATAATAATCTAAGGAAAAAATCTAGTTTTCAAAATATCTGAGCTTTAGGCCAACTCTTTCATTGGATGGTGCACAATTTTGAGGCCAGACCACTGTAAGTGTCGCATGTGGACTTACCATCAACAGAAAGCATTGTTATATCCATTTGAGCTCAAGACTTACAAGGGAAGAACTCAAGTCACAAGTGCAGCTGACATCTCACTCCAAATGCAGTGTCAGTTCTGTGATTTACAAATAATGCATTTGAATTTCTGTGCTTTATTACATTCCCTCTTTCCTAGACTGGTATTTATGCAGAATAGGAAATGTCCACAATGAGGTAAATGGATGTTTTTGGTTTGGGTAGCAAATACAAGTTTTCTATGGGGTAAAAGAAGGTCAGGCCATATATTGAAAGCTCAATATCCTACACTTCAAAATCTACATTTCTGAAATCAAATACATTCATGTAAGGATAGGTTTGGAGGATCAGATCATAGATATAAAATAATCCCTCCCACCTGCCAAATTTCTTCATAAAATAAGAATACAAATGTTTAAATATGAAATATATTGCAGACAGAAAGACATATACGATGTATAAAGAATGGGAGGGGTTTTGATTAGCTTACATAAGGTCTTCTAAGAGATTTATTGAAAATGAACTACAACAAACACAATAGTATGCTGATAGATACTGTATGTACAAAGGAATCAGATCATTATGTTCTTCACATTTGTCATAATGCACTTCTTATCATTTCCCAACAAAATGGATAGCAAGAAGAAGGGGGATCTGAGAGTATCCAAAAGGTCATCAGTTTTTTGGTCTTTTTTACCATTATCTTCTCATTGCTGAAGGCTTGTTGTTGTTGTGCAAGCCATTAGGAGTCTTCACATTTTTTTCACTGAGATGGGCCATGGGAACATGTCAGCCTTAAGATTTGCTAAAGGTAAGCATTAGGAATGCAGCATACTCCAGAAGTTAAAGTAGGGTGAGAAAAAGACTTCTGTGTTTCCGATCTGAAACATTTATTTTGTGTAATCCTCAGCAACTGCAGGCTCCCTTCATGCCAGCAGAGGTGTGTGAAGTCTTGAGTCCAAGCTCAGTTTTTGTTGTCATAAAATATTATAATTACCTTCCCTTTTAATAGTGCTGGTTTTATTTTGAATTTTACTTTTAGTGTGCAAATCATCTAATATGCATGAAAATTTTCAGTTTAGATTTTTGTTCTCTACAAAGAATGGGTTTTGTTCAAAACCTTTGAACAACTCTGCTGCTCACTTGGCTGGGGAGAAGAGTCTTTAGGCCAGCAGAAGGGTTCAATGAAGAGTAGGATTTCTCATCTACCAATAATTTCATTCATGCAGAACAAGATTCAGCTGACTCCAAAGTGCAGCTAATTTCTTTGACAAAGATTCAATTCCTTGTAAGAGGAGTTACTATGTAAAAGAGTCTAAAAATACTGTAAAAGTAATATACGAATATCTGCTATGTGTAGAGATGACTCTGCATGTAATATACTTAATACAGAATACACAGAAGAAAACTGAAAGGCTCTTTGTACGTTCCCAGTATGTTGTTCAGTTACAAGCGTCCTTGCCATGTAATCCGCCACACAGACCTCATGACAGCACCTCTGTAGGGGAGGCCAACTTCTCATCACTCTTCCTTAGAGTTCATTGTGCCATTTTAAAGAACAGATTGGAATAAACAGAGGGCATATGTAGAATTTGGGGAAATATGTCGGGAAGGTGTATTCCTGTGCTAGTTCAGAAACAACATGAGTATATAAAAATATATTACGGAGTATAGAACTTTGACTATTTGTAAGATACATGTCTTGGGAGAGGAGCAGACCTAATAGCCTTAAGGTTTTCTCTTGCTGGTTAGATCTCTGCTAGGCGTATGCTATTTTAGCAAAAAGAATGAACAAAGAAAACCTCAGTGAAATAACTGTGATGTAAAGCTGCATTTGTTTTACTGTATAAGAACTAAAATTAGTAAGAGAAAACTGGTAGAATCAGTTGACTTCAGATGGTTATAAAAAGAATAACACATAATTCACAATATTGCACAATCAAGCATAATACTTTGTTCTAGATCTGATGAGGACTCCATGATTGCCTTCTAATGTAGGGACACTAAAGTTACAGCACAAGAAATTAAGCTTCTTTAGGTAACAGTACTCTGATCCCTGTTGACTGCAGTATAATGGAGTATGAACTGAATCTGTGTAGCACATGGGGGAAGTTGCAGAAGCACATTTATATGAAAGCTCATTAAAAGTCACATATATGTTTCCAAATCTCAGTCTTTGTTATTAGGGTAACTGTATACCACTGTGTTCATAATCAGCCATAGTTATAGCAGGCCACATATTATTCTTCACTGATAAAATCCCCCCTGACTGTAGGAAAGTGATGACAGACCTCAAAGCCCAGAACTTAAGGAATTTATCAGGAGAGTTTCTTCCACAGGATTTTGGAGATTTATGGATTGAATTAGAATATAATTATGTGTAGCACTGTGAATCCATTGAATGAATGTAATACTTAGAACTTCATCTTGCTGCTTTCTACCAGCCATCACATGAGTTCATGAGGAAAGAATGAACACAATAGATTAATTTCCATGTAAAAATACATGTGGAAGGTTCCCGGACAGGAAACAATATTGAGAAAAATGTGTTAAAGAAAATAGTAGCTCTTCAATTAGTAGAATTATTCTGTTTATGAAATGAAGCAGTTTTGATGTCTTAGAAACAATATATCTTGAAAAATACATTATATGGATAACAATTAAGGAGAAATGCTTGCATGACTTGAAAATTATGTGTGCAGTGGAAATTCTGTACAACTGAACAGTTTCAGCTGGAACATATCAACAAGACTGAGGAGCCAGGCTGAAAAATCAGTTAGCTATACATACAGCTTATCTTTTAGTCATTAATGTTCATAATTCCATCCTAATACAGCATAATTTTAAAAATCTCACTAGGCAGAAGCAAGCTTGATGTTTCTTTGATGTTGCTTTAAGGACAAACTTCTACACCAGGGTTGTGAAATCTATTACTGATCTCAGTGGACAAGGCTAAATCATCCTGGATGCTATGCTGAAGCCAGATGCAGCAAATTTTCCTCACTTTATGAAGTGCTTCTTTCATAAACAAACAAAAACCCTCAAGCTTACAAACAATCTGTGCTACTGGATAACGTTTTGACCAAAAAAGAAGTCTTCATAGGGAACATGTTGCCTTTAAAACAGATGTAATGATCTGTAGTCTGGTCAGAATTTTGCAGAACCAGGAGTGTTGAAGTGCAAAGAACTACTGTCATCTGTGGTAAAAATACCTGGTTTATATTGGTATGGTAGGGTTTGAGGATTTTTTTTTTGAAATAGAAATGGCTTTTTAAGAAAATAAAAGCATGATGGTCTGCATTTCAAAAAGGAACGCTTCTATAGATGCATTTTGCAAGTTGCACTTAATTGTAGAAGACCAACCCCTTGTGACCAGATGAAATAAGAAGTGGTATTTGAATGACTAAACTGAGAAACACTTCTCCTACGATTGTTTAGATAAGGAAGCAGAGCACATACTAATATCCTGTAAATTAATTTTATATTTTTTTCTTAGTATCATGTACTCAAATTAGAAGAGTATCATTATGCTGTGTACACATTTAGAAATAATGTATTACTTTTATAAATTCCTTTAATATCACATCACATTCACATTCAGGTGGTAGCCTATTAAAAATAATAAGTGGTTTTTGTTATTCCTGTTGTAAGACACATATACAATTATGTGCCAGTAAATCTTTATATGCTAAACCTAAGTAATGGCCCTATAAACGCTTTAGGGAACAAACCAAGTGAAAAAAGGCTGTGGACATTTCACATATGAAGATTAACTTCTTAATTTCTGTTTTGGACTCAGCATCTGCCAGCATTTGTGTTAAATAGTATAGACCTTTCCTGTAAACAGGCAAGGTCATGCTTTTTCTCTTGTTCCTCTATTGTTAAACTTGATATAAAGCAGTAAAGCTCTCAGATTGCAGTTTGTGACAGAAAAATGAAGTCGTGTCTTTTCCATAACAGGAGCTCTTGGGAAACCATATTCAGTAAAAGCACAGAGGCGGTGACTCCTGAGCAACTCCAGTGTTGCCAACGAGTAGTACAGCTTTGTAAACACTGCCTGCTGGTGGTTTACAAATATTCATCAGATTCAAGAGGATCCCCAACTGGGATTAGCTCCCACTGGGATGATACAAGGTATACATTTAAATATTTTCTTCCTAAATTATAAATATAAAGGATAATATTGGAACAGGTTTCAGTCTGTTGCCACCACTACCCATCTCTTTAAACCTAGTTCACTATGTATTTAAAAAAAAAAACAGTAAACCCCCCAACATTTCCTTTGATCCTGAGTTTCTATCATTCTAATCTCTCTAGCCCACTCATGAAGTGCTACTAAAAGAAGACTTGATATACACATTTTGGGTGAAACTGCACTTACTAAAGTCTTGGTTGCCCATTGCCCAAGTAGCTGCAGCAAAGGCTTTCCATAAAGTGAACTGAAAATTTCCTTTCTTCCCCTCCTCAGATCCCTCAAAGTCACTGATTCCAGATTTGCATTCTTAGAGGTATCCTAACATGTATGATACTTCTGGCTTCACATTCGCAGTGGGATGCTATAGGGGCACAGCTCCAGCCAAGGGTCAGGTAAGTGCCATCTGATTTACTGTATTGCACAGTTTTGCAAAGTTGATTTCCAAAACCTACAGATTGAAAGCTTTATTATTTCCTCTTACAGAGCATTAATATATTTTCAAACCTTGCAAAACAGCATCATATAGTAAAAAAATTATTTGGCACTTACCTGATTCTCCAGTGGCTGGTTTAGTTCTCCAACTGGATACAATAGGGATTACAGTATTGTCAGTGTCAGGATTACTGAAAATGCTCCGACTGTGGGAGTCAACGATCTGCAATTTAACAGTCGTAGGTGGAGAATTACATGTATGTTTCAAATTACTTAAGTTCCAAATTCTATCCATAATAGCAACTTGAATTATTATCTATATAAACTTACAAATATTTGTTTATATAAAACATTTTAGAGACATTATTTCATAGAAGGGCTTTATGAGTTCAATATTATGTGAAAAGCAAACCTTTGATATATTATCTGTTAAACTTATTTTATGACTTAATTGCTTACTTGCTATATCTCAGACTATTTATGTGATACACCGAACCCATTTGTTATTGTCATATGGATCTTAAGGCACTCTAACATAATTTTCAACCAACCAGAAACTGAATTGTTTGCTCACAGCAAAAGTAGAAGTATGTTAGCCACAAAACAAATTATATTCAATATTAACATCTACTGACCTATAGCAGGAGTATGGTAAAGTCATTTGGATTAGCTAAGACTAGAAAATCTTCAAGCTTGAAGTTTTTATTGCTTTTACTGTTAATACTGCAGAAAATTTTTCATCGTGACTAACCACAAACTATTGAAACAGATCATATTGCTCTAATGTACTACAGCTAACAGGCTTGCATTTGGAAACCAGTGAAAGGGATAGTCCAATCGGACTTTTTCATCTCCAGTTTCTGTGTTTCTTTGGATGATGAAGTGAAGTTTATTCATAAATTTCACAGGCTAGAGGAATCTAAGCTCTCTATATCCTAAATATCAGTGTGTCTTCAGCGATAGAGTGTCATGACAACTCTGATTGATTGATTAAAGTTACCATTTTTATATTAATATCCACAAATATTATATCTGTACCGTGTATATAGCAATAGCTAGTTAACCATGATATTCTGAATTTCTGAAGTGAAAGATACATATGGAAATAAATATTCTTGCCCATTTTGCCCCACAATTGTATGGTAATGAACTATTTTTCTAGAAATGGGAGAGCCACACTATGATTTGCTTTTCCTCTAGGTTTCTGTTTTTAAATGATATAAGTATCTGCACTACTAATAATAGCTTTTTTGACTCTTGGTAAAATTGTGTGAAGTGCAAGAAGAGATCTGAGTATAATTTAATAAATGTAGACGTCAATTTTTTCAAGACTGAAGAACTTTGTATTTTTCTGAGCACAAATAAATTTTTGTGTGTGCGTGTTTATGAAACAAATGTTTGTGAAACTAGAGGTTTCAAAGAACACAAATAGATACCTCTTTAGCTGGGAAAATTTATTTGTACAGGGAGAGAGAAAAAGATAATGAAAACTCCCACAGAATTCTTTTTTGACTTTTAAAATTTGTTCTCAATCCCATCTCCTAACTGTAAATTCATGATATATCATGAAGAAAATGAATAGGAATATTAATATAAATGTATATTGCAGTCATTTTTTTCCTCACAGAATTAAAAGTGTAAATAAAACAACAGGAGAGCTCAACAACTATACCAAAATCTCTTTAAAATAATAGCTAAAATCAAACTGTGTAAAAAGTCAGACTTTTCATATTTTGATAAATTTACCTGTGTTACAAAGTTAAAAAAAACCCCAACCATCTACTGCTAGATCCTTATAGCTTGCTAAATAATCTTATCTATTACATGGCATATTCTTTGGGAAGCATTAGAGTTTTTTACTGTATCATCAAGCAAAGGTAGGACTCGGTCTGATGATGTAGTGAACTCTCAAGCTCACTACCAACCCATTCCAAATCAGACTTCATTTTTTAATAAATTGTTTAAAAATGTATTGGTGATAATATTTTTTATAACAGCTTTTCTTAAAGCTTAAATAAACCCCATGTATACACTATATAGATTGTCTCCCATTGACAATGTGATGCTGTTTCTATCCATGTGATTACTAGGATCAGTCTTTTAACTTATTCATCATTCATCACTATGATTCACTAGAATGATGCAACAATTTTTAAGCAATAATTTATACAATGTGTTGTGTTAATCCATCCTAACATTGGCATAATTCATTATGAAATTCCAATTTAGTGTGGATGTTATTTTTGTACACTTACTGTGCTCATCTAATGACTTCTGCAATGAACTATTAGCAAATGATAACATGAAAAGATTTAAGAATGAATATTAGGCATATGATAAATTATTGTTTGTAGCTTACATAAAATGCAGGCTATATAGGTGCCTGAATTTAAAAGGTAAATAGTCACTGATGTGATTTACTTGGTTGTAGCATCATTGTTTCTTGCTTTACTAGAGCAAATGATATGTTTGTCTATTTTAGATGGTAGTTTGTCTATTTTTAGAGGATTGGAGCTGGAAACCAAAGCTGAAAATCTCTGGTTTTTCCCTAATCAACTTTTTTTACAACTTAACTTTTTATAAGCTGGTTAACATCAATTGCAGGTTTTACCCAGTTTAAATTGAATAAATAGTATCATAATAATGGAGAACAATAAGTTAAGTATTAAATTTTGGTAGTAGTGTTACACAGGGTGCCATTGTTTTATTCATCCGCTTGCTTTAAACATAAAGGACTGGGGAGATGTTTGATTCTCATACATTATCTTGAAATTTTGCTAAGAGTTTCTCTGAGTTTAGATTTGTTTCCTGAGTTAGCTAGTGCATAATGCCTGTATGGTTTATAAATAGTATTTATTGTACATAATTTCTTGCATAAGATGATTTTAAGGTATGGCACACGAACAACTAATTCTTTTGCTATTGAATGTCACTTTGCCTATAAACTCTGCTATATTTTTCATATCCTTTCTAGGTATTTATTGCCAGGACCTTCACTGTTCATCATGAAATCATCCTCACCCAACCTTAGCTGCAGTTCATCTGGAATGCCTCGCCCTAACATTTTGTTCACACACAGATACAGTCACTTGTGAAGCAAAAGGAAAGTTGCTGTTCATTGTAAATAATGGCACTCCATTTTTTTCAAATTAAAATTTGTGATGGAGCTATATATAAGCACTGTCATATATTTACCACCATATTATGATAAAATTTAGCTGAAAACGTACTGTAAAAGCATAGCTTTTCTGGAAACATAATAAAACTTGTTAAGTTGTTTACACACACATGTGAATGTGTAGCTCTTGCTAGATTTATAAGTAATTCCTTCCTACTAGAAATGTTATTTTTGCTGCAGAATATGTAAAATGGAATTGATCTTGAAGGTCCAATTACAGTGTTACATTATTTTGTAAGTACAATACTTTGACTTGAATATTATTTGTTGTAAAGTATACTATTTATTGTCTCAAATGTAATTGATCCTTTAACAAGGCAGATGATTAAAAAACTGTAGTAGAACAGTAAAACTGTAACTGTCATCAAAAATAACTGATCATTTCTTGGACACGTTAATAATTCCCAAACCTCTGTAAGGCAAACCTAAAGCAGACATCTCTGAAATTACAAGATCTATTTAATGCTGCTGTTTTCCTTGAAGGACATGGTATAGTATGTTTTAGCCAAAGTGAAGGCATCTAGTACACAAACAGTAAAAATAACAGTTTAGACATTCAGGTTCTAATTAGATTCTTGTAATAAAATGGAAGCCAATGTTTTCATTTTCATTCACATTACCTATGTCCTGTGCCTTTAGGTTTCCTTTGGGAGCAAGCAGTCATCTCCAACTCGTACAAGCATGTATAGTGCATAGTTTTTCCGTTTTACTGCACAAGTTGTAAAGCAGACATTTTTAGGAAATACTGCAGCTATAATGTATTATTTCAACCTTAAACTAATTGGTTTGTTGTAGTTTTTAGCATACAATCCAGTACCTACTGTAGAATGTATCCGTACAATGGACAGTATTTTCTAGATTGCTGACACCTTTAAATGTTGGAAATCTAATTCAGTAGCAAGCTCTCACTCAGCTTCAGCTTCCTGGGCCTGGCTGAAGGGCACAAAAAGAAAACGAGCCAGAGCAGGAACCTAGTGTTAACTGGATCTGTAACCTGAAAACATCATTCAGGTTTTGCTACATACACCCATTCATCCCACTCAGCATTGTGCCATATGAGCCTTATTCAGTATAGAAACAATTATTAAAAAAAAAACAGTTAATCTAAATATAAAAACGAAGTAAGATTTTTAACTGAGTAAAGAACAGAGTAGTTATTATTTACCAAAGACTTGTTTACTTACCAATCATGTAATCATGAAAAGTGTTTGTTAAATTACCAATATATTTCAGGTATACTTAAAAAAAAATAATCTGGGGACTAATTATCCTCAGGAACAAGTGTGTTAGAGGTTTTTGATAGCCAGAGATTTAAGACAAATTTAAGAGACTTAAGGAATTTGAGACTGAAGTTGTCTGGAAATGATTATTTTTTTTTTTTTAAATTTTAGACATAGCATATATAAAACTGGGAATTTTGGTGAGATTTTTGATGCCTGTGCTGTAGTGCCTCAGCTCTAGAACTACAGGATATATGATAACGAGAATATTTGTAAACAATTAAAAGAACCTCTTGAGATTAGCCAGATATGAGCGGTCTTCTGGTCTGGTAAAGTCTTTTCCATTTTTGTGGTAATACTAGTTTAGTAATATAGTATGTTCACATTAATTGTATATATCTTTTGGTCCATACAATGACTACTGATAAAGCATACTACGGTTACCTGTAAGACCTAATAAAAGCTGTAAATTCTCTCTTCTTGGGGGAGGCTTCCATTGTGTTCTGCTTTTGGCCATAAGGATAAAACCAGCTTCTAGCTTAGCTTGCCATACTCAGAGTTTAGGATAGTAGATTCACATGCCTTTTTTTTTTTCTCCTTTCTCCTTCTTTTTTCTTCTTTTAAACGTTATGATCTCTGTTCTCAGAATCCAGTGCTGGGACAGGTCAATCTGTGTAGAATACTCTGCCAGCAAAACGAGGGCTACTAACCATACCTACGCCATGTGGACAGAGCGAGAGGAAAAATACATTTAGCATGTACAAAAGTGGACCAGATGGTTGGTTTACACCGGATGCTACTTAATATATGCATATTTCTGATACCCTTTCCTAAAGTGCTCCTGTATTCCTAATAATGTGTGAATCAATACTTTCAATAAACATAATGCTGCACCTTCCTGCCAGCTCCTCAGAACCAGTGCCCATGGTTTATGGGTGATTTACGGGCTGCACCTACAGCCTGACTCCAGATAGCGCCGTAGGTGGGAGCATTTACTCCTTTCCTTTCTCAAGTGTACTTCCCAGTTGTATGAGAACTGCAATTAGAAAGAAAAGAACATTGATAAAATTTTTAGCACAGGTTGATCTTTGCCTATTTAAGGCGTGAATAAAGTAAGGTAAGGTGTTTTGTAACAGTGTATGATAACCTCAGTAACTCAAAGAGAAACCCCCTACCACAGAAATAAGATGCTCAGTAGGTATGAGGCAGCAGCTGTGTATGTTTTGGCTGACGACCGCCTCTGGGCGCCTCCCGGGGAGACGGGGAGCAATGGCGCACGGGCACCCCTGGGGGAGGGGCCCACCTGGCCCTGCCCCTAATTACAGCCCTGCCTCTAATTACAGCCCCACCCCTAATTACAGCCCTGCCCCCAGCAGGTGGCCTGAGGTGGATTTTCTCAGGGCACCTGTGAGGGAAGCTGGGGAGGCATTAGGTTCTCTTGCTGGGTTTTATTAATAACTGAATCTCCACAAACCCGCTGACTTCTAGTCAAAAATACTGCCTTTACTGGAGACTTTTTTTTCCCCGTTCTTTTGTTATTATAGTTATTTTGTTTAGAGCAGGCCGGATGTGCCGGCAGTGGTGTCCTGCCAGCCTGGCCTCACCAGGCCTTCCTGCTGGCCGGTGGTGGGAGCGGGGCTCGACAGCTCCGGGAGAGCCGGGAGCATGGTGGTGAGCTCGGGTGTGAGCTTGGGCGCTCACCACCACCACCCACCGGGAGGTACCTCCGAGGGTGGCCTGCGAGGAGGTCATGGCAGGTAAGGACCAGCTGCGGAGGGGCGGTGGGGCTGTGGGGTGGTTCAGTCACTGTGCTTCTCTGCCCAGAGGGGGCTTGGTGGCAACGTGCTCCTTAGGTGGCACCAAAACACTGTGGGTAGCCACAATCGCCATGAAAGATGCCTGTGCCCCATGTCTGCTGTCTTGAAATAAACCAGCATTGATAATGGCATGTTTATGGCAAGCTGACGTGTTGAGTAGGTGTTTAGAAGGAGCCTGCTCTGGCGGGACCGTTGCGATGCGGATGTTGGTTCGTTGCTCCGTGCCCCGGTTCTCATCCTGCGGTGGTGCGAGGGCAGGATGAGCAGCTGTAGGGCTGGGCTCAGAAATGCCAATTATGAAATCTTACAAAGACTTCACGCTTTATTTGTGGTGTGAAACAGCTGTTAGCCTGTGAGAGCATGGCCTGGTGGCATCTGATCTTGTTACTGGAGAAAAATACCTGCTGAAGTCTGTAGGAGTTGTTTTCGTTGGGGCTGTGAAACGGCTGTCTAGGGCTGACCAGAAAGGGTGCTGCTTTCCACAGTGGGACGCTGCTGGTCCAAATCTGTACCTTGCCTGTGTAAACCTGTACCTTGCCGCGTACTCAATGCAGCCAGACCTGTCCTGTGCCTGAGGACATGGAGTTTTCTGCTAAAAGAAGGTGCTTCTCTGGGCTTGGTAACAAGGTTGGGAGTCCAAATACAAAATCTGAAGAGCAAGGAGAATCCTTTTTCAAAAGCATTGCTTTGCTGAAGTAATCTTAAAGGAAACATTACTTAAAATGTCTCATAAGGATACCCATTTGGTAGACCTCAGCCTTGTCTTAATGTCCTGCCTATAAGGGAGTGTCTTGTCCTTTTTATGGGAAAATTAGTCTAATTGATGATTGTCTGTACAGGAAAGTAAACAAATCCATCAGCTTTTAAAACTACATCTGAATTGTTCCTTAGCTGGGCTAGGAGTTCTAGAACAAATTCACTTTAAAATATAAAACCGTAAGTTTACCATTTTTGAGTCTTCCTGTATATCCAAATGAAAAGACTGAATTGCATTGACAGTTATAATGTCTAATTTAGGTGTTAGCAAATGTGAATATTTGCAAGTTAGCTGTGCATTCAGTGTTAAAACAGTTAACTCGAAGCTGTTGCATTTATTCCCATTTTTGAGAAGAAAATAATTTGCTGTTAAATGGCATACTTATTGGAAAATCTTTCACTTCAGCACTTGCTAAAAACATTTGTAATTTTTTCTGTATGTGGTAAAATTCCCATGCATTAGTAGTTATTCTACATCTTTGTTCTTTGTTCTCTGCCAGCCACCTCTATGCAGTTCCCTACGTTGTTGAAATTGCTTGTTAATGTAGAAGAGTCTTTGTTGGTGTGTAAATACCTGTAGCACTTTAGGACTCTTAAGGAAATTTGGGATAATTTTACCATTTACATATATGGAACAGGAGAAAATTCTGCTTGTGGGTGAGCAAGACAGATATATTCTTGGTGGTTGTTTTAATATATCCTAATTTCTTCTTTTAAAACAAAAGGCAGCATTTACTTAGTAAGGAGAATTCTTAATGCTGAACTTAGAACTGCCTGCCTTTTAGCATAGATATTACTCTTACTATAATGTAATACAGTTAAAACTGCTGTCTATGGCCCCTAAATGCCCTCTGAACAGGTCTGCTTGCTCTGAGTGCCACAGAGCCAAGTGGAGCCTGTACCTGGCTGAAATGCCGGCTGATGTGGATGCCCAGAATCTACTCGCTGTACCGTGCTGGCTCAGGTGGCTGCACAGTGGTCGGTCACCCTCTGTGCCTGCCCCTGTCAGGAGTTATCAGCCACATCATGAAGGGTAGAAGAGCATAGGGAAGTGACCCGTACTTGCCTTTCCTGCTGTGCTCTGGTCAAACCACTGCTCACGGCTACTGTCACGCAGTTTTGCTGAGCATCGTCACGCAGTGTGCTGCTGCAGCGGGGTTCGGCAGCGTAGGCATTTCACTTGCTGCAAAGCACTGGCTTTGAAGGCTGAGGGTAGCAGTCGTGAAGGAGAGTGGAGCCCAAAAAGGCTATGAGAAGTCAAGACATCTGGTGAGAAAATGTATTATCCTGGAGTAAGTTTCACATTAAAGGTTTTCCTTGTGCCTGTCTTTGTGGAAATGATTTGCCCTGTTGCAGCTGAATAAAAGACTGTTTCATATAATACTATGTATTATTGTTAATTGAGTGGCATAGTGTCATCTGACCGTCTATAGCATTATACCCACTCAGTTGTTCCTGCCACAATTCCCCGCAGTCCGCTGTCTCTCTTAGAAGCTTCTCAGGACAGAGGACCCTATTTTCTAAATAGAAACTTTTCATTCCAAGATTAAAAAAATGTCATGCAATACCTGT